AGTGTATGCAAAGCTGTGTTACATGAGTGCAACATTAGATATAAAGTTATATACATGCAAATATGGATCTTAAAAAATAAAGATAAAAAGTTTGTATATGTTATCTGTTTCTTATTCTTTTGCGCATACCAGGAAATCAATAACATTGTTTTATTGTAGAGTCTTCTCAACATCCACATGAGCCATCTCGTCATGATGAACTCGTATGATGTTAGAAACCATGGACTCTGGCACAACGAATCGTAAGTTATCGTTTTCTTTTCTATATACCAAGCCTTCAATTAATGCGTATTTATCACTGAGTTGTTTTTCTAAATCGTTTGCAATTTCTATTATTCTAGGATCAGCTAATTAACGAAACTCGAATTCTCTTTCCATGGGACGTTCATACTCTTCGGAACGGTTAAGAGCATCTACGTGCTGTATCTTATTTCCTGGTCGATGCACTACTTTAAATTGGTTAAATTTGTAAAGAGTCCATTTCGCTATCCTCGGATTCAAATTAACTTTGTTCATGGTATATACTAGCGCGTTGCAGTCCGTAACAACTTTGAAATCTATCCCATACAAATATAAATGAATTCTCTCTATTGCACAAACTATTGCGAACATTTCTAGCTCGTAGCTATGATAATGTTTTTCTGCTTGATTTGTAGATTAACTGAAATAGATTGACGCAGTGGCTGCCCAATTTCCGTTACGTTGCTTTTGCAATAAAATTGCGCCAAGTCCCCAATGGCTGGCATCCGTGTGAAGCACTTCTGTTTCTGCCGCAGGATTATACAAAGCTAATATGGGAAACGAGGTAAGTTTTTTTTCAAACGTTCAAATGACTCGACACATTGATCATCAAAATTAAATTCTACCTCTTTTTTCAACAAATTTTGAATAGGTCTTTAATTAAAAAATCTTTAATAAATTTCCTAAAAGCTAATTAGACCTAAAAATCTCTGGACCTCATGCACATTGGATTGGACGGTTGCTTAAAATTTCTTACGGCTTCTGTATGTCGCGGATTAAGGGTTATCCCTTTTTCAGATATCCTAAGAATTCTATGTCTTTATGTAGAAATTGGCACTTCGAATAATTTACTTGAAATTTGTATTTTTTCAGATAAGTAAGCGTTTCTGCGAGGACGGCTAAATTTTGCTTCGACCGACTCAGACGGGATGAGTATGTCAGCTATATATACTATAATCTTTTCTTTCCTGATGATCAAGGACTTGTAACGTTTTGGGATTCCACAGGGGCTTCTGAATATTCGAAAAGTGAATACCGATATTACCCTTCAGGGATCGCGAAACCGAAATATTTGGTTATTCTCATCATAAACTTTAATATGATGAAATCCTTTAGATCTAAGAGCGTAAAGCCCGATTTATCGACAATCTCGACAAACAATCCTCAATTATTGGGAACGGATACTTTTGTTTTATCACTCTGCTGTTCAGCGGTCTTAAATCGACACACAATCTAATGCTACCATTTTTCTTTCTAATAGGAATGAGCGCAGTAAGGCGAGATGCTCGGCTGGATGATTTTCCTTTCTAATAAATCATCCACGATCTCGCGCATTTGCAGCTGCTCTGCATAAGGAAAACGTGCGCGATGCAAAAGCATAAACTGAATTATTTTGAGGTGAACGCGAACCGAATACCCATCATTAACAAGTATAATATTAGAGTCAATGGCCAATATGGTTTCCATCAGTCGTTTCTTAACCCAACAATCAAAATCAATCACGTCTTCTAAAATTTGTTCCAGATTATCAGACGTGTCTTCGACATAGAGAGGGAGATTGGCGAAAAGATGTACGTCAGTTTCGTCAACCGCCGTTCCATTCAATTTATATACCAAAGTAAGCTTCTCTTTAACTATCTCTCCCGAGAATTACGTCATCCAAAAATGATTTTTCATCGATGATGACATATTAACTGAGAATTTACGATTTTTCATGATGCTAATGATAAAATCGACTGGATTCCTTTTATATTTAATATAAAAGGCACTCTATTTAAATTAACTAAAGATCTATCTGTTGGCAAGAGACTCTTAATGCAAAGTTTAATTATATATTCATACACGCTAATGTTAACAAATGATACAGGACTTCCGGTGTTCATTAACGCTATTAGATTACATTTGTTATTATAAACAGAGTTTACTTGGATATGCGGACTGGAGAGTTTCAAATGACCATCGTCATCCTCTGCAATCAAGGCCACAGCATCTTCCTTTGTGCCGTCAAATATTGCTGCTGCTGTCTGGACCAACTGCTGCTGACTGGCGCCACTTGCTCCACTCCTCTGCCGCGCGGCTGGACACTTCTACTGGTGATAGCCTTTCTTTTTACAAAAGAAACAGGTGAGTTCACCTCGCAGATTTTGTAGTGACCAAACTTTTCGCAGTTTCGACATGCGTTATCTTTCGGTTTAGCACCACTCGCGGACGCGAATGTTCTTTTATTTAAGTCCGACATCCCTTCCATGATGTTCCTCATTTTTCCAGAAAAGTGTTCAGAGTGGTGTCGGCCACGGATAGGGCAGTGGCTCTCCATTGATCACGCCGCTTATCAAGAGATGGATCACATCCCTGGTTGGTAAATCGAGTTGTCTCAGTAACGCTAATTTTGCAATTACATATTGAAACATTTCCTTGTGCGGCAACCATTTTCGTGCTTCGGCCTTTTGCATGATTTTATAGAATGGAATCTTTTTTCCAAATACCTTGAAGAATTTCGGTTTCAATCCAAACCAAGATTCTATCGTTGCTCCGCTCTGAATGTCGTACCATTGCCTCGCGAACTTAACAAATTTGCTTAAGGCCGCTAGCAAGGTTGCATAGTCTGATGCTCCGTGCATCTGTAATACTTTATCGACTCTCTGAATCCAAGCGTTTACATTTTCATTTTCAGTGCCTCAACTCGAGGATTTGAGAGGCTATCTAAGAGATAGCATTCCCGGACACCAAGGCCTCCCTCACTAATATTTGTTCGAATTCCTGAGCGAGGAAGTTGCTTGCGAGCCGTTTGGCTCTGACCTCGGCTCTTCCTGATCGCCGTGATCGGTAGGTATGGGCGTTATTTTTAACGTATTACTATTTGTTCTGTTAATTTGTTGGAGTACTTGCGTAAAAAATTGTTGCTGACTCCGTGCAACTCTTTTTGCTACTACAGAATCGATTTGGCTACTTGAATCAGCGTATGGAGCACCGCTGTCATTACGTTGCTCCGTAAGCGTCAGTAGGTATACTAGGCCGGTTCTATCCCAGGTCCTCCGAGGGGGGGGGCGGGTGTGCGGGAGTGAACGGAGGTCGCGGGGAAGAGGGGAAGGGAAGTCAGAGGCGGCGATCCTTTGAACTGAGCCGTGGGAAAGGAGGGGGTAGATAAGATAGTAGGATTCGGTGAAGGGGATATAAACAAGTGAATAAAAAAGTAAATAAACAAATAGAATAAACAAGAAGATAAATACAAAAAAGATAAATACAAAGATAAATACAAAAATACATAAAAACAAA